TTTTTCAACGTTTATTTATTTTTGGGACAGAGAGAGACAGAGCATGAACGGGGGAGGGGCAGAGAGAGAGGGAGACACAGAATCGGAAACAGGCTCCAGGCTCCGAGCCATCAGCCCAGAGCCTGACGCGGGGCTCGAACTCCCGGACCGCGAGATCGTGACCTGGCTGAAGTCGGACGCTTAACCGACTGCGCCACCCAGGCGCCCCTCAACATCCTCTTTTTAAAAGGGAGTAGTATACTACCAACATCATATGAACATTTGAAATAGTGGGGGAGAGAATGGGTGGAATTGAAATGTGAAATATTTTGAACAGTGAGGGGAAAAAAGAATGGAAACTGCAGACAGTGAGTATAGACAACATTTCTGGGGAGTTTTGCTGTGAAGGGGAGCAGAAAAGTGTTCTGTTCCTTCTTCTGTTTCTTTGAATGGGTGCTGAACACTATGTCTGTAGCTACTGGAATGATCCACTACAAAGAGAAAACTCGATGAAGCCAAATATAGATGAGTAAAGGTGGAATAAAATCCTAGGTGAGGAAATATAAAAATTTGGGCACAAATAGATCTTACAATTTCAATTTTCTCGTATAAAAATAGTTCTTTTCTTTTCTTGCTTTCCTTTTTCACCCCTACTTGAGAGACAACCTTTAAGCTTTCTCTAAGTTGTGTTATAAAAAGGCCACCAGTATTAGGAAGGGAAAGGTAGAAAGGTCTGTTTGTGCAATGATTTCTTTGGAGAAATGGAAAGATGTAGGCCTGTTACTATAAGGAATCAAATTTTACCAACAGTAAACCTCTCCCTTTGCTTCCCAGGATAGAGGTGAGTGCAAAGGTTTCCATCATTTTGGTCTTTGGCTAGCTGTTGGTAGAGAGTGAGACTGGGGTCCAGCAGGAAAGTTAGAGAACTCAGCAGAAAACATAAAGAGGAAGATTACAGAATGTTAGGGGGAGAAGGAACTCCTAGGTGCTCACCAGAAACTGACTGTATGGACTGAGACTTAGGTGACTATCTGGGCAAAAGAATTGTGTGTCCTATAGTCTCCTTAGTTTCTGTATTTGTGATGGACTTTGTAATTTTTTTTTTTTTCCTCCTGAGAAAGGGCTGTGCCTGCACATTCATTTTAGTGATTTGGTTTGTAACAAAGGAGTTACAAAGGTATAGGATTTGCTTCTGTTTTCTTTTCTGGCAAGTGCAAGAATGTTTAATTTGTAGTTGTTCCTCATCTGAATCATTAGAAAAAGAAGGAACTGGTGCTAGGAATTCTAAAGAGGAAATAAAGTGGATTGCAGAAAAGGAGTGGTGGTTTCTGCAAGGAAATCATAAGAGAGAGAAAAAAGAAGAGAAAGTGAATCTAGGACTTAAACCTCATAATGATTGTGGTATGTGAAGCAGGGGTCAACAGAAGAGAGTGAGGTTCTTCAAGTCACAGATTCAGAAAGACATTGGGCATTTGGATGAGGGACCAGTAAAGGAAAAGATTCTTCTTAGCATCTGTGTTATCTGCACAAACAACATGCATCTACATGCTTTTCATTGAAAGTGGGGATAAGAAGCTCTGGACACATTCCCGGTAAGCAAGAAATAAAATTTTTTTGTATTTGACACTTTGCATTTGACTACCTTACACTTGAAGGTGAAGGGCCCATATTTAATTGAAAGGGCCCAAAGAAATTTGAAGTATTGAGTCTCAGGTTTTAGTCTGCTTATTAAGTCACAAACCCTGGATATCTTTTAATAAGGCAGAAACTCTGTGTTTTTTGCCAAGGAACCATGGGGGATGGTGGGAATCCACATCATTGTCTTGAGAATGCCCTGGAAAAAGCTGTGTGGCTGCTGACTTACAACTCAGGAATTGCCTTTGACAGTGAGCTCTAGGTTTAGATGGCGTTCTTGTTTGGGGAGGTCAGCAGTCCTTGTGTAGGTTTTTTTTTTTTTTTTCCTTTTGTATTTTGGAAAAGGGAAGAACGGTTTTTCATCTACTTTTTTTTTTTTTTTTTTTTGGTAGTTGTAGTTGTAGTTGTAGTTTAAAGAGTAACTGAGATTGTAATAGTCTGAAAATGCTTGGGAGGCACTTTACAAATATGGAGTGCTAGCATGACTGGAATAGAAATGTTGGTGACTTTTGTATCTTGAATCAGAATGTTGAATAGTAAGTACAAAAAAGACTGATTGGAGAGTCTATAACTGGAGTTGTGGAAAGCAAATATTATTTAATAAAAGATTAAATACAATACAAATGTTGCAGCCCAGGAATAATAAAACTACTTTAGAAGAAAATAACATTTTATACAGCATTTATAATAATTGTTTAAGGAGGGTTAACTAGTTTTTTGAGCTATTTGGAAAACTGTGTCATGTAATAATGCCTTAAATAATATATTGCTACCAATACCTCTGAATGTATTCAATGTTTATAATATCAAATGATATGAAATCATATCATTTAAATTTTTTTCAAATATGTGTGATTTTTCAAATATACATATGACAGTGAGAGATAGCACAGCTATTATAATAGCTTTTTCCTTAGACCGTCTACACCATTTTTATCAGATAAATTATAGGTAGCACATTATAAGACTATCAGCAAAGAATGTATTTCACTTCATACAGTAACTTATCTCAGCTACTAAAATCTTTTCATTTTGCAGGAAAGAACCTATTGATATGATGTAATCCTTACATGTAGTAAACTTTAGTGAATAAACAGATACTTGGATAATTCCTCTACACTTTCAGAACACACACTTTTTGCCATTGCTGTGTGTCACACACAGATGTGATGAATCTGTGCTGTCAAAATAGTAGTTTATTAACTTAAAAAAATTAGCTTCATTTTGAAAATTTCTCAAGCTCTCTTTTCTAGTTTTATGAGAAAACCTAAAGAATTAAAACTACTGATTTTAGAAAGTTAACCTCTGTATGAACAAATAAACTTTAAGAAAATAAATGTAAAAAAATTGATGAAATTTTAATTTCCTTTGATATTCCAAATAATTGGACTTAAATAAAAATTAAATTTTATTATTAGAGTCACTAACACCTACTTCCTAAATATAAAAAAGGAAAACTCTTAGACTTTTTGCATATAAGGCATTATACTAACTTGGAGAAACATTAATAATCTGAGGTACAATATTATAGCAATAATTTCACTTTTAGAGACTCCCTTAAGCTGTATAACAACAGCACTATAAAAGACTGATCCAGTGGTAAGGAACACTTGAAGTCATATTGTGAAACTTATCTATATTCCAGCAACAAATATTCCGTAGACTAGTTGCACTGTATTGGATATAAACATCAGACTTCAAAAAGTGACCTCTAGCTGTACCTCAAAATAGTTGGCATTTACTTCCCCTTTATCATGTATAATATTAGCAAGCATAACACAACTATTGTTGACTGAAAATAAACTCCTGTATCTTTAGAGAAAATAGAAATTATGGAGTTGTACTTTGAGTAGACTTTACAAACTACATTTTGGGCTTCAAATTAAAAAAAAAATTTTTAAATATTTATTTATTTTTGAGAGACAGAGAGAGACAGAGCATGAGCAGGGGAGGGATAGAGAGAGAGGGAGATAAATCTGAATCAGGCTCCAGGCTCTGAGCTGTCAGCACAGAGCCCGAAGTGAGTCTTGAACCCACGAACCACAAGATCATGACCTGAGGCAAAGTTGGAAGCTTAACTGACTGTGCCACCCAGGCACCCCTTGGGCTTCAGATTTTTAAGATTTTTTTCAAAAAGAAAAAACAATCAGGGGGGCACCTGGGTGGCTCAGCCAGTTAAGTGTTTGGCTCTTGATTTTGGCTCAGGTCATCAACTCACTATTGGTGAGTCCCACATCAGGCTCTATGCTGACAGTGTGGAGACTGCTTGGGATTCTCTCTCTCTCCCGTCCTACTCCCCTCACGCACTCTCTGTCTCTCAAAATCAATAAATAAACTTAAAAAAAAAAAGAAAAAACAATCAGATATCCAATATTCTAAAAGCAAAAAGATTTCCACATTACATATGGTCTTTACAACACACTATCAATGGAGAAAAGTGGATTTACATATGAATAACTTAAGGGATAACCGCTTTAACTACTTATGAACATGCTATTTCTCTAAAGTACATTTTAATTTTATTTTAGTCAAAATCTTCAAATAAATTGTCTATAAGTTCTTCTTAAAGCCAATTACAAAAATATCACTTAAGGAAATGGCAGCATTCCTATTGTTATACAGTTAAAAATAAGTGGGGGCACTGACACGTAGGATACTTTCAGAACCCAGAAAAATGCACAAAGGCAAGAAGTCTGTTATGGTAATTGTTTATTTTTTCTAAGAATTTCAAAAACTAAAAACTACATAGGCTTGAGTTTGACAACATAAACACTGGAACAATCACAACTATGGGAAATTCAAACACTTCTTAGAAAAATTTACAACTGAACATTTCAAATATGTGGGATATATACAACATTAGGTATAAATTTGAATAATAATCACATTTATAGTGAAAACTATAACAAAAGATACCAGTGAAAGCAAGGCTTGAAACTACTGAAAAAGGCTAACACTTAAATTATTTAGCTAATCTGTTCTTATAATTTAAAGAATAAAGTCTTTTTTTAAGTCCCTATCTATTGACTATAGATAAAACAAGAAATAAACTTGACTTTTAAACCTGATAAGTAGGAAGAATGAAAAACAGAACACCTAGTGAAAAAAATTGACATAAAATAGTAGGAATGTTGAAGGAAGACTCAAACTCTAAGACCAAAGAGGAGAATGAGGGGAAAACAGTAAAGTCAAGAAAAAAAAATAGGACTAGCCATTGGGCAAAGAGAAAGGCTAAAGGTATTTGGAGAAATTATACTTAACACATTTTGTGATAGGTAACTCAAAATGAAGTAGAGCTGACAGTTTACTACAATATCTTTAATTAAAATCATTTTCATAAACTGTTTCAAGTTGCACTAAAATCAGTCACAAATTTATGGCCTATGTGAATACTTGCCAAAATAGAATGCATTAAAGACTATTAAATCTATATGTAAACTGTAAAAAGAAGAAATTCATTCCGTTTTTAGGTCTTTAATGAATGCTGTTGACAATAAATGTTGTTCTAAGAAAACTACAATCATCTACTTATTGAGCCTCATTTCTCCTAAAATGTTCTGCTTCTTTTCTGGAACAAAGTGTGTTATTGTTTAAAAGGTTCTGAGCTGTTTTTCAATTATCTGAGTGAATCTGCAGCTTAAAGCAAATATTTACCTTATGCCCACAATTAAAGAAAACCCAAACAACAGCTGAAACACAATTCATGCAGTGCCTTACCTAAGAGAAGGAGGTATATTTTGCACTGAAAGATCCCAACCGTGCTGCTGAAGGACTCCATGAAAGCATCCTGTCCCATGCATACAGTGCCCTGTTCCTGGTGGCAACTTGGTTCATGGACCAGCAGCTGGTGGTTTATTTGCTAGGGAAATTAGCAGTGAGGTAACAGACCCTATCCTGTCTCTTGCTTCTGTGATTTGAATACAGAATGAATGTGTATACAAAGGACACAGGGAGTGGGAACACCTGTTATGTGCTCTGCAAGAATACCGGCTTATGACTTTAGAACAGCTTTTTAGCGATTATCAGACTATCAGTAATTGTCAGTGTATTTCATGAATCATTCTTAGTTATTAATAATCACATGAAGGAGAACATCCTTTTGGGTGACTTTACTGAAGAATAGTATGCTTTCATAATGAAAGCATATTGTGAAATTTCCTGAAAAATGTAAGTTGGTTTCCTATCAGGCAAAAACTATACCATAATTTTGAAATTAAAATTCTTTTTCTATGAAAATTGAAGTATTTCATGTATCTGCTAAATAGTTATAAATCATCAAGTCACTAAGTAACATGTAAAAATTATACTAAAGAATCAAAACAGAGCACTGAATATCTTTAAAACTGATTTTTTCTATGTAATATTTTCTATTACAAATGTCTGGCATGGTTTTATTCAATCTATGGATTCATGTTATTTTTAAAAGCAAACCGCAGGTGTGTTTCCAAGTGACAGTGAATCATGGACCATGCATAATTATAATGAAAACAGATAATATCTGAAGCTACATTTTCACAGCTGAAGCATAGAGGAAGTAAACCAATGGCCCAGAGAAGCTCTTATAGTCTCTGCTGTGGTGTCAGGGCTATAGCTTTTCAGCCTGGCCTCTTTATTGCCATGGGAGCAAGCAGCCTTAGCACTTCCTCTTAATTTACTAAGTTATAAGTTAACTCCCATTTAATTTCATTTATTGCAAGAAGGCTCTAGTCCAAGACTTCCACTACATAAAGTATGTAACAAAAGCATGTAACATAAAGCATATAACAAAGTATGTGAGAAAATCTCACCAAATCTAGCAAAATTTCCTAGCATAAATCATTTTTAACCATAAAGGCTCACTGAAGGAGTTAAATGATAAGAGGAAAGAGATTCCCAAGCGTAATTAAAGGTTAAAAAAAAAAAAGGAATGATAGTTATTTTGGAATCCAAGTTTTGAAACACTTTTTGCATTAAGGCTCCCAACACTTCCAGAAATGCTTCTATAGGCAAAGAGAGAGAGAGTAAGTGACTTTTGGAAAACCTGAGGCCTCTCCAGAGGTCATTTTATGATCTCTCCATGATTCGGAAAAACAGCCAGAGCTTCCTCCCAGGTAATTACTATAGCACAATTTTCTCTGTGGTGCCTCTAAATCTTGGACATACATCTACTGCAGCACTTATCTCACTAATCTCAATTAATTTTATTGCATGTTTATTTTTGCTCTGGGCAACTCGAATACAGAAACCAGTCGAATTTGTTATGGATCCTTAGCACCTACCTGGTGCCTAACTCGTATTTTTGTTAAGTTGTTCCCTGAGAAATAAACGCCAAATGCTCGTTGGCCCATGTCTTCTGATTCTCAGCTGATGTTAAGAAGTGCATATAATTTTAATATTGGTTTGTACAAAATATAATTCAGAAATATCGATATCACATAGATTTCCCTCATGTCTTTTAAATCAATATTAATCTCTAATTGTCTTTTTTAAAATAAGCTCTTTCCAGTGTTTTTCGAACCCAGTGCTGGCACATAAGGAAACCTTTTGGGTCCTAGGCAAAATGAGAGAAATGAAGACAATGTAGTGATGTTTTTTCTTAATGTTAGGTTTACTCAATATAAAGGGCTGATTTTTATTCTGAGATTTTTTGTTTCTTTTGCATGATATTTTAAAATGTCCTTTATTTTATGAAATAGGTGATAACAGACACTATATAAACAAATGCCAAAATGAATCATAGTTGTGATCTTTTCATGTCATGGCACACACGAAAAAACGGCAACACCTGTACCTAACGCCTGGGGAAAGTGCTACGTGGCATATGCAATGCAAGGCGCCCTCTAGTGGCGGGTGGTGGGCATAAACTCTTACGGGTCCCAGTCATTTCTAAATACAGGATGTTTGCACAGGAAGTCGTACAAGGTAATGATAAAATAGAACTTCAACTGTTGTCAATTTTTACATGGTTGCTGAAAATGGTTTCAAGTGCTTTATTATATGAGAAATTCCCCACCATCAATATCTCACATTTGACTTGTAACCCACAGAGGGGTTCTGCTGTACTATACTTTTCAGTAGCCTACTTATTGATCTTAGTTATAATTACATTTAAAGTGAAAAGTCTGATTAATCAATCTATATCCATGGTAATTAAACTTCAAGCAATGAGAGGCACTTGGGTGGCTCAGTCAGTTGAGGGTCCAATTCTTAATTTCAGCTCAGGTCATGATCCCAGGGACATGGGATTGAGAACCATGTCAGGCTCTAATCTAAGCATGACTGCTTAAGATTCTCTCTCTCTGACTCTCCCCTGTCTCTAAAGTAAAAAAATAAAATAAAATTTCAAGCAATGAAAGGAGTCACTGTGTTGGGGGGAGATTTTAGGGAAGGGCTTTTTTTGCAGCTTTTCACGTCACACTATTTATCATCTAGTTTAAATTGTAAATAAGATTGGTCTTGTTTCATAAGGCAAGCAGTCCGCTACATGCATTTCAAACCCCTGCATTCATTATTTATTAGTAGCATATGAATATTTTGGAATGGTAAGAAGAATTGGAAAAGTGGTAAAATGCCAATGCCAAGGTCAATGTAGAATAGTGGGGACTAAGAACTGGTGAAAGCGGGGCGCCTGGGTGGCGCAGTGGTTAAGCGTCCGACTTCAGCCAGGTCGCGATCTCGCGGTCCGTGAGTTCGAGCCCCGCGTCGGGCTCTGGGCTGATGGCTCAGAGCCTGGAGCCTGTTTCCGATTCTGTGTCTCCCTCTCTCTCTCTCTGCCCCTCGCCTGTTCATGCTCTGTCTCTCTCTGTCCCAAAAATAAATAAACGTTGAAAAAAAAATTTTTAAAAAGAACTGGTGAAAGAAAGCACTGTCTTATGTTGTAATTAGATTTCAATTTACAGGCTATTGGAAAGAGCTGGCTTCTAGAGGAGGCCATCGCAATCGCCTCTGGCTGTGCTGGTATTCACTCCTGTATAGTTCTGTCTCCCAGAAGCCTAGGTCTCCTCATGTGGCTGCTAAATGACTATGTAGCAGTCTTCCTTCCTGGGCTCTTCTCCAGGTCACTGCTTTACCTTCAGTAAGTGTTTTTGTTTTTGTTTTTGTTTTTGTTTTTGTTTTTGCTACTCCTTGCTCCGAAAGTGTAGTTACTTCATCCTGGAGAGGCCACAACTTTGTGCTGCTTTCATGTTTATAGGATGATTTGAAATGTATCTTCCTAATCAAACCAGCTTTTATTTAAGTTTCCAGAGGCTCCTTTTGTTTGGGCCACCAGAAATATGCCCTTATCCTACTTTCCTGCTAATGCTGCTGCCTTGTCCAGATCAACTTAAACTCTTTGCTCTGATGTTCCAAAAATGGGGCTGTCACTCCTTTACCAAGGGCCTACCATCCAGGAAGCCTTTCTTAAGACTTATTGGCAGGCCATCGAAACTTTCCACTAGTTTACTCTGGCCTACCACTAACGTCCTTCAGGGAAATATGAAAGTCCTAAATAAGCCTTACATTCATTTTTGAAAAATGGAAATGAGATAACATGCTTCACTTTTTAAAAAGTGTTCTTTAGGGCTCTAGGTTTGTTTGTTTAGTTTAGGGAATTAAAAATGCATCACGTATGGCTCAATTATTTTCTATCATGTTAGGGTATGCTGAATTAGAAAATATAGTTTTTTTTTTAATTTTTTTTCAACGTTTATTTATTTTTGGGACAGAGAGAGAGCATGAACGGGGGAGGGGCAGAGAGAGAGGGAGACACAGAATCAGAAACAGGCTCCAGGCTCTGAGCCATCAGCCCAGAGCCCGACGCGGGGCTTGAACTCCCAGACCGCGAGATCGTGACCTGGCTGAAGTCGGACGCTTAACCGACTGCGCCACCCAGGCGCCCCTAGAAAATATAGTTTATTTAGACAATAGCACTGATTTACTTTACATGTTTTCAACATTATAGTTACAGCCTTTAAACTTTTAGAAGACTGGATTGTTCATTTCTTTTTAGTTTATAAGAAATAAACTAAAACTTAAGAGTATTCGAGTAAAACAAAGTTTTAATGCTTTCTTGACTTTTCAGGGTCATGGAGATACAGAAAACTCTCATTTCCCCGCTTTGGCTGATAGAAAAAGACAAATACATGGAATAAAAAAGTTTTTTGTTTTGTCACTTGTAACTTTGTGTATTGACTATATAAAGGGAAAATTCTGGGTTTGGATATGGGTTCTAGTTCTGACTCAAGCTCTAATTTTAAAATGTGTGACCTTGAAACCTGAGATGGAAAAATTTTCTCATTTCTAAAGAATGGATATGAAATTCTAGAGCTGGCTGCCTATAAGAATCACTGAGGATCTTAAACAAAGAACCTAAAAGAAAACATTAGCAATGGCAGACTCCGCCAGTGAATTTGAATGGTCAGGTTTGAGAACTACTGGTCTTGGATCAGCTATAATATATGCTTTTCAACTAGACTGTAAACTCTTTGAGGACTGAGACTGTATATTACTAATCTAAAGTGCTTAGTGTAGTGTTGCCTAGTGCCTAACAATCAAAAATTGAATTGGGTTTCATTTTACATGCCAATATAGTCAGCAGTTTCTGTTTCTTTTGGTGCTTTCAGAGACTTTTAAATATTGAAGATTTTCATACAGTAAGAACTGGCTGGCAATAAAGACCAGAGCAGGTAAAGAATAAACTAAACTAGGGTTGCCCAAAAGTACCTGGAATTTTTTATGGGGTACAAATAACAGAGAAGCATATAGGTAAACATAATTTCAAAAAGAACTGTTAAGCACGACAGAAGTATGCACAGGGTGGTTCTTTTGGAGCAGAGAACTGGGAAGAATTGTGACTAGAATACTTCATAATTGTAAGGTGTTTTACAATGTATAAATTGCATTCACCTACATCATCTCATTTATGCTTACAAAAACCCTAGGTCAAATATTACAACCTCATTTGTAAAAATGAGACAAAGACAAAAGACAAGACACTGAAGTCAAATAATAATTTCAGAACTGGAAATAACCTCTGTAAGGTCCTCTAAACTTCAGTCATTTGCAAACTACTTTTATTATTTTTGCCATATCTTAGTACCATCCATACTATTTTTTTTACCGAAGTTTTTCATTAGTTTGGCACACTTCAACACTTTTTCAGTTGTCCTAAGAAATACTTTTGAAATCATGGGTTTCTGATAAACATTAATTAAAAGTAAATTTAAAAAGAATTATTGCTACCACCCTTCAGGACTCACTCTGCAACACCATACATGAAATTCTTACTTAAAGCAACATCTTGGGGATGTCTGGGTGACTCAGTTTGTTAAGTGGCCCACTTTGGTTCTGGTCATGATCTTGCAGTTTATGGGTTTGAGCCCCATGTCGGGCTCTGAGCTAACAGTGCAGAGCCTGCTTGGGATTATCTCTCCCTCCGTCTCTCTCTGCTCCTCCCTGCCTCGTGCTTTCTCTCTCTCTCTCTCTCAAAATAAATACATAAACTTAAAAAATCCAACATCTGCATAATCAGTCCTTCAGTTTCTGCTTGCATGCCTGCAGTAATCTCAGACAAGTTATTTAGTTTCTCCATACCTTAGTTTCTTCATCTTTAAAATGGGGATAATAGAAAAAAAAATAAAATGGGGATAATTGTACCAACCCCATAGGATGCTTATGTGGATAAATGAGCTAATATATGTAAAGCTATTAGCAGAGTTCTTGACATGTAGTAAGCGCTCAATAATTGTTACCTGTTGTTAGTGCTGGGTCGCTTTTTTTCCCCCCTGGTGTTCTCATAACTAGAACTTTTTTTTTTTTTTTTTAAAGTAATCTCTACACCCAACATGGGACTTGAACTCACAATCCCAAGATCAAGAGTCACATGTTCCACCAACTGAGCCAGCCAGGTGCCCCTGGAAAGTTCTTCCTTAAATTAAACCCGAAAGACTCTTCTACCTTCCTCAATTTAACTGAATTACTAAAAGTTGAAATGAGAACTTTAAAGTGACATGCGTACTTATTATTGTTGCATTTTCCATCTTGACTTGCCTTAGATTAGGAAGGTAGTGAAATAGGTAGGGGTTAAATCTTTGGGTTTTATAGTTTTTTTTTAGTGGATGCCAAGACTGAGAAAGAACAGCCCTAACCCTGGACAGCTGCCTATTGGACAACCTGGACCACACCTTTCTTCAGGCCAAGCCCAGAGCCAGCTAGAGAGTCCCAGGTTCTCAGGTCAATTCTGGGAGACTGCCTTCCCTTGAGTTCCTGTCACGTCAATCTCAGGTCCTCCCACTCCGCCCGTCTCTACCAGGTGGGGTTTCCTCCATTATACTCTTAGGGGAATCACGTCAGTCTGGTTTATATACTGTCTTCTCAATGCTTGTTCCTGTCGTTCAATGCCTGGTCACCTACGAGTTAGCTTTTCGTTTTATCAATGGAGTTACCAAGGGCAAGGAATTCCGTAAAGACAGGCGGTCGCCGTGGTCACTCAGAGCAACAAGACTTGCAGGCTTAACTGAAGCATCCACTGTTTTGCTTGCTGGGAAATGTAGTACCTGGGCTGTCCTCTCCTTTTCATTGCGGGTGTCGGTGGCAGCCGGAAGACTACAATTCCCAGCATGCTCAGGGAACGAGAGAGGATGACCAGGGTCGGCAGCTCCACGTGACTACTCACTATGGCTTCCCTGTGTACCGGCCAGCTGTCTGGTGTTTGGGCGTGATTTGTCAGTTCTTTGCCACAGAATACCCCTTTCACGATTTCGACATGCAAAAAATCAAATCTCTTATGACCCGACAGGTAAGTCGCAGAGGCTGAAGCAAAGGCCTCCTTCGTTTCTGCTGGTAGAGGAGTCTAGATGGTCTGTCTCTGGACCGGGACGGGCGGACGCCTAAGGTATGGCTGGTGGCAGGTGTCAGGGGCACTGGAAAGTCGGGGCACACCCTGGAAAACTAATCTGAGCCGCCCTGATCCGAGCTCTGCTCAGGCGGGTAGCGGCGTCCCAGAAACATTCCTTTAGATAAGGTCAATGAGGGAGTTTCAGTGAAGGCTATCTTGGTTTCCCTTCCTCTCCCTTTTGCCGTCGTTCCAGTGACAGTCCCAGCTGCCTGCAGGACTCCCTTTATCCAGGCTGCCTGTCGTCTCTGAGCAGGTGGCCTGGGTAGGCGGGTGGGGTCTGTGCAATAGAGATGACCTGGAAAGAGTGAAAAAAAGTGGATGAGTTGAAGACAGAATTGGTAGGTTGGTGACTTTGGGCAAGTTCCCAAACCTTATAGCCTAAATTTCCAGATGCTAAAATGAAAATAATTATTTTTGTTAATCTTATCTTACAATTCTGAGAGTCACCACCAATAAGTTAATGCGTGAGAAATTATACTTAAAAAATCATTGTTATGGCAAAATAATGGTCTTTTATTTTTTGCCACAATGATAATTCATGAATAAAAAACTTTGGTTTTTATTCCATCTCATAAATGTTATGGACTTCCTAGTCATGTCTCAGCTTTCTTCAAGCAAGAAATTATGATTTTAGATACCTTTATTTATTCAACTCTAATATTTCACCATAATTGGCCATACTTTATTACTTTTATATGAGAGAAGTTAATTCAGGGTTGTAAATTAGAGATTTTGAGAACTTTGGAGAATATGAAGGATAGTCATTTAGTGAAAGTTTCATTTGTGAGTTAGGTTTGTTGTTTATTAGAAAACAGATTCCAAATTAAATTCTTATTTGAGAATTCAGAATTTGAGAGATACCTGAATAGGTTACAAATGGTAGATATCTTGTGAAGAATACATGAGTCCTACGTGATTATTTTACTCCTCTTAAATTGTATTGTTAATGTCACAAAAATAAAATTTAAAAGTTCTGTAAACAATAAAAGATTTAAGTAAGTGGCGATCCCTCACATTTGTTGAGTACTGGTATTATGGTTCATACCACTTGTTACTCAGGGATGTTTGCATCTTGCTCCATCCAGTAGTAGCTATGTGACCTTGAAGAAGTCACCTTTTTTGAGCATTTGTTTCCACATCTTTAAAATAGGGATGATAACATGTATCTCATGGTGTCAGATTGATGGTGATGTTCATATGATATGAAGGTAAAGAGATCAAGGAGTTAACACAGCATCTGGGTCTTATGAAGGAAGTGCTTGATCACAGAGTTCATCTCAGTGGCTGCACTGATGCTGAGAAAGCAGGAAAACTGGAAGCAGGCTGTTGTAGTAACAATAGGAGATGATTTCAGGCTGATTTTTGGTATCTGTTTGCTTTTTTTTTAGTATCTCTTTAATTTTTACACCAATATACATTATATCACTGCTACTCCTAAACTGCTTCTAGAATGCTGAATTTGGACTTTTGTGCATCAGCTAAATTTGGTCTTCTGTCATGTTGCTTGCCATATAGTTCAGTGTAGTCATCACTGTATAGCAACATTGGTTGTTTTATTGGTTTTTAACCTTATTTTGTAATACTGAAGGGAGAGAAAAAATACACAAGTCCAGATACCCGTGATATGTTTAGATCTCCTAAATGTAGTGAATTGTTGTGTAAATGGTGACTCTTCAGCCTCAATCAGTTGCTTATTGGACTTGAGCAGCTCAAATCAGTGCTTAGGATAGAAAAACCCTAAAGAACACATACAAAATAACTGGAACATACTGTGTAAAAAGTGAAGTAAAGTTAGAAGTTTTACACAGATTTTAAAAGTCATCCTAATTATATTTGTTTATGGCTTGACTTCCACATATTTAATCGTTATGAATACACATTTCATAAATCTTTAAGATGTGAAAATAGAGTGCTGCCTGGAGTTACATTGGGAGATTTTTATTTAGTAACATTTATTATTGGGTTAAATGTAGTAGTATTACATATACACAAAGATGTTTCTTTTTTGTGAGGCTAAAGAATATGCAAATAATATTGTTAATGTGGAGAAATATGAAAGGTCTATGAAACTTACGGGTTTTTTTGGCATTTCAGCTTTGCAAGGATCTTGCTTTGGAAAAGAGTGGGAGGGTGGGCTTTGTTAGCTCTGTTTATTTACATGAGGTCTGTTGTTCAGCTTTCTCTATTATGCTGGCCTCTGTTTTTTCAATTCATTCAACAAATGTTTACAGAGCACTATGTGCCAGGCACTATTCTAAGTTTGGGGGTGTGCAGCAGTGAACAAATCAGACAAGTGCTCAGGCAGACATAGGGATTAATGCTTTGGAAGAATAGGGGATAGGGAGGTCTGGAGTTGTTGGCAATTTGCGGTTGTTGATAATTTTAGATAGGGTGGCTGTGGAAGGCCTCACTGAGAAGGTGACATTTGAGTAAAAACCTGAAGGAAGTGAGGAAGCAAACCATGTGGATATTTGGGAAGGAGCATTCCGGGTGGAAGGAAGAGCAAATGTGGAGGTCTTGAGGCAGGACCATGGCTGAGGAACAGAGGCCAGTGCGGGTGGAGTAAAGTGAGGAGAAAATAGTAGAAAATGAGGTCGGGATGAGAGCCGAAAGCAGGAAGCCGGATCACAAAGGACCTCATCGTGACCTCATCTCCTACTACTTTTTTCCTTACTAATAGCAAAGCCATGCTTCTATTTTGATTGAAATAGCAAGCAGAGGAGTGATGCCATTTTACATATGTGGACTTCACAAAGACATTTTTGGCCTCTTTTATTTACTTATTTATTTTTTTAATGTGTATTTATTTATTTTGAGAGAGAGTGAGGGAGGCGCAGAGACAGGGAGAGAGAGACAATCCTAAGCAGGCTCCTCACTGCCAGCAAAGACTGGCCTCTTTTTAAAGAATAGTTTGAAGAGGGAAAAAGAGCAAAAAAAGGGAGAACAGTAAGGATGCTATTGCAGTATCTGAATGAGAGAGGATGTGGGCCTTATATAGAGTCCTCGTGGTGGAAGGATTGAGAAGAGGCTGGATCTGTGGGTATATTGTAAATTTAGAGTTGACAGGACTTCTTGACAGATCAGATTTGGGCTGTGAGAGAAGGAGAAGCATTAAGGTTGATTCCAGATGGTTTGGCCCCCTCAATTAGAATTGGCATTTAACGAAATGGGTAAGGCTGAGGAAGGAACAGATTCAGGGAAGGCAGAAAGTTTTTAGACTTGCTTTTTAAAAGCCTCTTTTAGATATTTAAGTGGCAAGATTAAAAATAGGCACTTGGCTAAGAGTCTGAATTTCTGAGGAGAAGTACAGGATATAGATAAAAATTTGGGACTTAAAAACATATATAAGGTATATAAAGTGGCTAAGATCACCAATGGATTGAGTGTGGATATAAAACAGTCCATGGTTGGAGCTCTTGAGATTTCAATGCTGGAAGGGTAGGGTGGATCTAGCAAGGCAGACTGAGAAGGAGCAGCTGGTGAGGTAAGACCACAGCATCTCAAAGACCACCTGTCCCCTATCAGACACTGAATAAATATTTGTTGGATAAATGTTGGATAAAGACAACAACCAAGTAGTGTGGGTCCTGGAAACCACGTAAAGAATTGAAAAGAGGAAGGAGTGATCACCTGTGCTAAATGCTGCAGCAGATGGGTGGCAGAAGGTGAGAATGAGCTTTGGATCAAGCAGCATGGAGGTCATTGGTGACCTGACAGTAGCACTTCTCATGAAGTGGTGGGGAGGAAAGCTGGATTAGGTGGGTTAGAGAGAAATTGAGGACTGAGTACAGCCACTATGTTGAATTTTGCTGAAGAGAGAAAGAGGCAGACATCACCTCACATGCTCCTTTTGATCATTGGGACATTTAGTTGCTGGTCTCATAAATGGAAATAGAAGATTCATTTAGGCATAATAGAAGTAGTCTGAAGTGTTAAAATGTGCTTTGGGCAAAGAAATAAAGTGCAGAGGCAGGTATTTTGTAAAAAATTTTTTTATTTATATATTTTTAAATTTACATCCAAGTTAGCATATAGCACAACAATGATTTCAGGAGTAGATTCCTTAATGCCCCTTACCCATTTAGCCCACCCCCTCCACAACCCATCCATTAACCCTCTGTATGTTCTCCACATTGAAGAGTCTCTTCTGTTTTGTCCGTATCCCTGTTTTTATATTATTTTTGCTTCCCTTCCCTTATGTTCATCTGTGTCTTAAAGTCCTCATATGAGTTAAGTCATATGATATTTGTCTTTCTCTGACTGACTAATTTCACTTAGCATGACACCCTCCATTTCCATCCACATAGTTGCAAATGGCAAGATTTCATTCTTTTTGATTGCCGAGTAATACTCCATTGTATATATATACCACATCTTCTTTATCCATTCATCCATCGATGGACATTTGGGCTCTTTCCATTTGGCTATTGTTGAAAGCACTGCTATAAAAATGGGGGTGCATGTGCCCCTTTGAAATAGCATCCCTGTATCCGTTGGATAAATACCTAGTAGTTCAATTGCTGGGTTGTAGGGTAGTTCTATTTTTAATTTTTTGAGGAACCTCCATACTGTTTTCCAGAGTGGCTGTACCAGTTTGCATTCCCACAAGCAATGCAAAAGAGATCAGAGGCAGGTATTATTTATGCTGAGCTTTTTATAAATTTAAACCGAGGAAATTTTCAAAACAAATACTAAATATAAAAGAAAGTCAAATAATGGTTAATGATTACAGTGAGTTTCAATTCGGTAAAAGCAGAGTACTACAGTTATAACCATGAATTCCTGCTTTAGAGAAGTAAAGATAAAAATGATTTCTTTTTTGTCAATAGAAATTTATAAACTTGCTAATAAACTTGCTAATCTTAAAATACACATGAGTACCAGATGTTGTGCTCTGAGACATTTATGTGAAAAATACAGGTGAGTGTCAGATGTGCTCTGAGACACTTATGTAATTCTTCATTTTTGTTTTGATAAAAGAGAAGCATTTCTCTGTGATCACAGTAATATTCAGAATAATGGTTAGCACTTAAAGAATGCTTGCCATATACCAGACACTGTTTTTGGCCTCCCACATACATTATCTCCTTTACTCCTTACCACTGGCCTCTGCATTATTGTCACCATAATTAGAATATAAAGACAGGCAAGGTAGGTAAGTTGTTCAAGACCACAGAGCCCATTCCCTGAATCACTGAGCTCCCGTGCTTCCCAACATGTAATAGGGTTTCCAATTTTTACGACTTTTATTTTGTACATTTGTTAGAAAGTTGCCATATAGTATTAGCAGATTATTATATGGGGTGACTAATCTGGAGGTAAGGCCCTTTCCTAGATATTAGTGTGTATCACTTTACATTTAAGGCATTGGTTTCTTTACTGAGTAGCTCTGGGGAAAGAGAAAATTACATGTGATATATTCCTCCAAGAATTTCTGTTGGATTGATTACACAAATCTGTACTTTTAAAAATATTTATTTAAAAGGCATGACAGTTATATTTTTAAAATATATTTTAGGGGTGCTCATGCTTTTGAATCAAATTATGAAGTTTTACACTTGTGCGTTTATGTATATATATGTGCATGTATGTGTGTATGTGTGTGTGAGAGAGAGAGGGAGAGGGGTAGAAAGAGAGAATATGAGAGAGAATGAAAGTGAGAGAAACCTGGGTGTGGAGTCTTCTGGGAGTAATGGAATACTTGGGAGTGAGGCAAAGCACCTGCTGTCATAAAAAATTGTAGTCATGACTGGCCATATTTTATAATAGGGAAGATAGAATACATGGCTCTATAGTTTAAAAATAAGCAAGTTCTGCTCTAACTCTCCAATAGTCAACCTAAGTAAACCATATATTTTGGCTACTAAGGACATCAAAGGACCAATATAAGGTACCTAAAGGACAAAACTCAAATTTATGCATCAGCTAATTTTGCTCACAGTTTTTTCAAATGTTTATTTATTTTTGAGAGAGAGAGACAGAATGCGAGCAGGGCAGGGGCAGAGAAGGAGACAGAAATTGAAGCAGGCTCCAGGCTCTGAGCTGTCAGCCTGGAGCCCCATCCAGAACCCCCACAACTCTGAGATAGTGACCTGAGCTGAAGTCGGACACTTAACCAACTGAGCCACCCAGGTGCCCCTCACAGACTAATATTTACAGGGATTTTAGTTATCTGCTTTGAATAGCCTATGTTTAAAAAGAGGCTTTCAAAGAAAAGTTAGATTGCTAACTTCTTTCTGTCTTGTTCACTTTCCCTGGTACAAATGAGACTTTCAGAGTCCCTCAGTAGATTGTGAATATAGAAATTACCAGGTACCAGGGAGCTAAAGAACAGTAGAAAGCAGCAAGATAGGAGATTTGTTATACGGTACAAATTGGGTGCATTGGTGAGAAATAATCAGGTAGAATCAAGGGATTACTTACGTATTAATTAAGCAATTAGCATTATTTAAAAGTCTTTGATTAGCTCAATTGGTTGGTGTATTATATCAGAGAATCATAATACTTGTTCCTTTTTATCAGGTGAATTTGGTAATGATTAATAGATAAGTCCTTTTATAGAATGCTTTTTGTCACCCAATTTTCTTTTCTTTTCGTTGTTTTTAAACTATGGTTAAATTAGACTTCAGCCATTAGTTATGAAGATGTCATATAATATTTTTATTTTAAACTTCCAAAAGTACATCTTTACTTGATTTAATAATACTATTATTAAATACTATTTAATATCATATTAATACATATTAAGTATATTAAGTGACAGCTGTTTTTAGAACGTACGTTCTATATATTTTAAAGCAGGAAAATTTCTGTTTTTAATGGTGATTTCTATTTTAGTAAATATGTTCTATCATTTTATAGTTCTGCAGCAGAATTAAAATTCTTTTTATTATTATTTTTTTAAGGGTCTGAAAAGCCCTCCGGAGAACCTTAGTGATCTTGGTGCCATTGAGAGTCTCCGGGTCCCTGGAAAGGTATTGATCTATATGTGTGAGCGTGACTTTTCACTTCCTTAAAAAATAATATTGCCTTTGGATAATAATTGATTCACAGAAGCCTTTCCTTCCCACAGGAAGATGGTAGTTATGATAAAACTAGGTAAATTTTTATAGTATAGTGGGCTTGGGGCTTGTTTTTGCTTTCATTACTCATTGGGATGCAGTATGATTCATTATAGTGAAACAGAAAAATGCAAAATTGATAAATTTAGAATTTATTATTGTATCAAATTCTTAGCCTGAAATCAGTTTTATATGTATATATGGAACTTATTGATTTATATACTGTAATTTGGAGAAATAAAATGAAATAATTTACTTTTTATGCTGTAACATTTGGAGCCAAATATATTTTTGTTATGGAGCAGACATTTTTGAGTAAGTAGCTAAAGTATAGTTTATAATAAATTATAAATATCTTAGATTTTAATCTCCTGATTCATGTGAACTTATGTTTACATATTTTAATAGGTGTTACTTGAAAGCTAGTTGGCTTTCCCTCAGGAGAATTACTAACCGTTGTTAAAAAAAAACAAAAAACAAAAAACAACCGTGCTGTTCCTCACTCTGGGATATTGCCATTCGAAGCTGCCTTGGTGAATAGCAGCTCCATCACAGATCAAAGCATCGTCTTCTGAATGTCTGCTCTTGTGATTTTCAATTTGAGGATGATATTTCAAAATACTATTTGTTTCCTGTGTCTGGCATCTTAATACGTAGGGCTTGTTTCTCTTGGTCAGCAATCATAAGTCCTCTCATGACGCCTCAGTGTCAGCTGCTTAGGAGAGTGATTTCCCATCCCCGTGAGGAGCCTTATCCCCTAATGTGAATTTTGTATTTACAGCTTAGGCTTTATTTGGGAGCAGACCCAAACATATTCTCCAAATATGATAATATTCCAGCCAGCCCTTTTGCATGAAATGATTTGACAAAAACCTTAAAGAGGCATTTTGAATAGTTTTATATAATGTTATAAAAGATTATTGCATGTGATGAAATTGGGAACTAAGCAATAACCATAAATCCTAATTGACAATTCTTTTTATTTCTTTGACTCTAGAAAAAAGATTATCATGCATCATAAACATGCCTTAAATTGGATTGCATTAGATGTTGTATTGCGTAAGAACTTTGTCGTTTTTAAACCTTGTGTGAACTTTGTCGTCTTTTTTTTTTTTTTTAATGTTTATTTATTATTTTGAGAGAGAGACAGAGCACAAGCCAGGGAGGGGCAGAGAGAGAGGGAGACACAGAATCGGAAGCAGGCTGCAGGCTCTGAGCTGTCAGCACAGAGCGCAATGCTGGGCTTGAACCCACAAACTGTGAGATCACGAACTGAGCCCACGTCGGCCACTAAACTGACTAAGCTACCCAGGCACCCCTGTTGTCTTTTACACTGTGCACCTTGATGTTTTTCCAGTACTTGTAGGTAGTGAATTTATAATGATCTCATTACCCAGTCTCCTCACTGACCTCCCCACCCGCAGCCCCATCAGTGGCTTGTGGTGTGTAATTTGAGATGACTGCTTCTGGGTGGAGAGGCTAGTCTGGGATCATATGATCAGGGTATGTATATGATTCAGGTGATGATTAAGCTTGGGGCATTGGTCTGATTGACACTCACTAAGAAGCTAAGTTAAATTATAAAACAATTAATAGTAAAATTAGTATCATGGCATTGGGCTTAAATGTAGCCTTACTCAAGAAAGCTCATAAGTCCTTGTGCTTGTTCTGTTCTCTCTGTGCATTCTCTGGAAACATCACAAGTGCTGCAGGGTGAGCTGACTGCTGCCTTCTCCTCTGTGTATTTTTGAGACTTTAAGAGTTGCTGGATCAGGAGAGTAGTGAAACTCCAGTCAGTACACCAAGTTTGAGATGGGTGAAGTTCCTACTCAAGACTGAAATTAAGAGTTAAGAAGACTTGTGTTCAGAAATGCCCTTATACAGTGTAGTTTGGTATAACTTCAATGCTGAGTATATGTTTCATAATTTAGATGTTATTTGAGCGCCTGCATGGCTCAGTTGGTTAAGTGTCCAACTTCAGCTCAGGTCATGATCTCAAGGTTTGTGAGTTCAAGCCCCCCATGGGACTCTGTGCTGGAAGCTCAAAGCCTGGAGCTGCTTTGGATTCTGTATTTTCTTCTCTCTCTGCCCCTCCCCTGCTTGCACTCTGTTTCTGTCTCTGTCTCTCTCTCAAAAAAAACCCCAAAACACAATTTAGATGTTACTCTATAGTTAGGTCATATATATAATATATATAATATATATAATATATATAAAGTTTTTATTACATCCCCAGAATTTATTCATCTTCTGTCTAGAAGTGTGTACTTTTTGACCAACATCTCCCCATCTACCCCACCCCTCAGCCTCTGGTAACCATCATTCTGGTCTCTGTTTCTATGAGTTTGACTTTTTAATATTCAACATATAAGTGATATCATACAGTATTTGTCTGTCTCTATGTGATTTATTTTACTTAGCATAATGCCCCTCTTGGTCCACCCATGCTGTCACAAATGGCAGTATTTCCTTCTTTCTTATGGCTGAATAAAATTCCATTGTATATACGTACTACATCTTGATGTGTTCATCTTTTGACTGACAATTGTTTCCATACCTTGGATATTGGAATGCTGCAGTGAACGTGGGAATGCATATATCTCCTTGAGATGGTATTTTCATGTCCTTTGGATATATATCCAGAAATGGGATTGCTGAATTTTTAATTATTTTGAGGAACCTTCATACTGTTTTCCATAGTGGCTGTACCAATTTTTATTCCCACCAACAGCGCACAGGGTTCCTCTTTCTCCACGTCCTCACTAATTTAAGTCATTATCTTTTGTCTTTTTGATGATAGCCATTCTACCAGATGTGAAATGATACTGCATTGTGGTTTTGATTTGCATTTCCCTGATGATGAGTGATGGTGATATATATTTTTCATGATTTATTTTTTTAATAGAAGTATTATTTTTTTAAGTTTATTTATTTATTTTGAGAGAGAGAGAGAGAGAGAGAGTGTATGTGCACATTGGCGAGGGCAGCGGGAGAGGGCAAGAGAGAGAGCATCCTAAG